ACGAACGGTTACTTGTTGCTCATTGGCCAATACAGTAGTCGGTGTTTCTACCTCTTGGAATGGCATGTTCAGGTCTTTGCAGTAGTTGGCTACCTTATTGCTGATGTAAGAGAGCAAAGCTCCGGTATCTATAAGTGCGGAAAATTATTTGTTCTTAATTTTCACTTGTATATGTGGACGGTTATCTCCTCCGGCGATGGCTGCATTGTGTGATGTTGAAGGGCGCACCAATTTTAGGCACCATATCTGGTTCTACTGGACGGATTGAGACGTACGACATCTCATTTTAAACCTTGAACTTTATTTTACAAGATAGGTAAGTTCCATTTATTAATTCATTTATTTAATAATTAATGGCAGCTTAGAAAGTTGTGAAATTTCAACGAAAATGCTGGTTTTGTTTATAAGGTTTTTTTATTATTCAACTTCGACGAAAAGCCAAAAAAGTTACCGGATATTGTTCTTTGCATTCTAACAATCATGCAAGGCATGAAATCATTGTTAGGATGCGAGGAACAATAACCGGTAACTTTTTTGGCTTTTCATCGAAGTCTTATAATCCAATAAATCCAGCATTTTCCTTGAAATTTCACAACTTTCTAAGCTGCCATTAATTGTTAAATAAATAAATTAATAACTGGAACTTACCAATATTGTAAAATAAAGTTTAAGCTTTAAAATGAGATATCATGCGTCTCAATCTGTCCAATAGAACCAGAGATATGGTAAAATTGGTGCACGCAGAGACGGAAAATGTAAGAGATTTTGCACTAAATTTGTAATAACTTTGGTTAAAGTTAATCTTTTTTTAATTTTCAAAAAAATATATATGTTTGTTATGAGAAAACGTAACTATTAACGGATACAGAAATGTACTATACTACTACTACTACTATAACTTTTTACGTTAAATAACATGGGCAACTCCGTTTTTCGACATGCAAATCATGTGGGTCCCATTTAGGTTGGTGAAGGGGGTTTTCGGCTCGTAATTTTTTTTATTTCATTTTACGTAAAAAATATTATCTTTGTTCAAATCGATATTTCCAATGGTTTTCGAGTAAATTGAGTTTGAAAATTACTCTGCTCTTGAAGTTATTAGGCCAAAAATTAGAAAAATCTGTTTACCATGGCAATAAAAGACTTAAATTTAAATTTAAATAAAATATGAATATTTTTAACTAGTGTTGTCAATAGTAATTTTTAATTGTGATAAAACATTTGACTTGTAAATTGTAAGTGATAAAGTACAATAAACAATTTAGTTGTGGAACCTATGTCGCTTATCATCGCAACGGATCTGTTTAGTTGGAAACACAGCCATCGACGGGTTTTAGTGACGCTAGGAGTACAGCGCGTATTAGCCAATAACAAACGACGTGGAATTTAAAACAAATATATTTTGCCACACTTTTTATATTCGAATTTTGCCCTAACAACAAGACAGCCATTTGCTTGACGTTTCGATAATTCGTAGACCTTTCACGATATATTTTCTAATTGTTAATAGTAATTTTTAATTGTGATTAAATATTTGACTTGTAAATTATAAGTGATAAAGTGCAATAAAAATTTTAGTTGTGGAACCCATAACCGCAAGACAGCCATTTGCTTGACGTTTCGATAGTTCGTAGACCTTTCACGATATATTTTCTAATTGTTAATACGCCAATTTTCCCGTTACAACTGATGCCATTTTTTAATTATAGGAATTTTTTATATTTTTCATCTGTTAATACCTCTGTTTTTAATTAGAGAAATTTTCATGTTTTTTTTGGATTGTTTTTGCTAGAGTTACTATAAAAAAAACAAAAAATGGCATTGAATAATTGACACACTTCATCATAACTACGGATCCTCTCTCCGTATCCAACCATAATTAGGATTTCAATTTTTTATTATTCCCTTAAACGCAAGACCATAGTAATGTAAAGTTATGATATTTGTAACTGCCGCAATGATATGAGGTACTATTGCATTCGCAAACTGTCGTCTTCAAAACAATACCTAACCGCTGTGATCGGGTGAACCTACCCAATCTACATAAAAACATGTACCTACAATTAACCAAAACACTTTTTTTGCTGGGGCACTGTTCTCGCATCAGTTTGTGATACCTACTTTTGTTGTTATTTCAAACCATGTCTATTCCAATCGTTGGCTATTTTTTTCGCACCTGTCAAAGTAAAGTAGGCCAACCCCTATATTGACGTATTTCAAAAGGGCTATCCATTTATGCTTAAAAAATTAGGTAGTGCTATTTAAAAAAATATATCGATGACGTCATAGGTTTATGAAACATAGCGTAAAAACGATTTAAGCAACGTGACAAAATGACAATTCCTATTTACTAATTGACGTGTTTTAGTTTTTTTGTGAAAACGCAACAGAAAATAAAATACGAATTTTTTGCATTACTTCTGGGACGCACTGTATATACTTTCTATAGAAATAGACAGCACAGATATTAGTTTTTAATTACTAGACGGGGATTTTATGAAAGATGTGCCATAAAAGCAAGACATTACCATTACGCGTTAATAACGGAAAAATTATTCGCCAGCTAATTTCCAGTATTATGGGTTTATAACAACTCACTAATACCCATTTAATTGCTGATAAAATAAAAGTAAATAAAAGAATAAAAATTATATATAATAAAATTATGCGCCTTTAACACGGCAGTATTAAGAAATAATATTTTACTAATGTATTTTTGATAACGCTAATTTTATTTGTAGTTATGTGGAGAATTTTCGGTAGTAAAATATAAACCTAACATAAGTTTTAATTATTATATATATTTTTATAGAAATAGACAGCACCAATATTAGTTTTTAATTACTAGACGGGGATTTTATGAAAAATATGTCATAAAAGCAAGACATTACCATTTCGTATTAATAACGGAAAAATTTCCAGCTAATTTCCAGTATTTTGGGTTTATAACAACTCACTAGTACATATTTCATTGCCGATAAAATAAAAGTAAGTAAAAGAATAAGTTTTTACGCTGCTTTAACATGGTACGGCAGTATTAAGAAATTACAAATCGTTTAACCCATGTAGCTACTCTAGTTAGTTTCTATTTAACTCATACATTTATAATAGCATGGAATTCTTCCAGAGTAATTATCTTGGCGTATTCCTATATATTTTTTCTTAGATGACGTTATTATCGCGCAGGCATTGTTATATTAACAATGCCTGCGCGATCCACTTGCTGCACCATCTACTGATAAGCGCTCGTCCGCGTTCTGAACTAATGGGGAAAATAATTAAAATTGAATCTTGTGGTAAGGGCAAACCCTATCGGGCGTACCTACGTGGGAGCAAAGACTTACATGGGGCCCCCGAGGGCAAAGACCTACATGATCAAGAGCAATGGTCTGGGCTAAGGGCGAAGCCCTAGGCCACATACCTACGTGGAGAACTCTGGGGGCCAAAGACCTACGTGTGGGACTGCGGGGGTGCTAAATTCAAATTTCCCGCCCTGTTTTCTGATTGGCCGGGGAAGTTGAGAAAAATGGAGTGGAGGGGGAAAAATTGGTCAAAAATGACCAGTACGGACCTTCATAAGAAGAAGAAGAAGATGAACCTTCATGGGATTTTGGCGTAGTATGAAGGTAGCATAACTACTAATAAGCCAATAACACCGTCTCCGAGAAAGAACTGGATGTCTTTTTCACCCTCTATTCCATAAATCTTGAATACACGGTGCCGTAAATTTTCGATTCAGCTGGCTGGCTTCAGAATAACTAATAAATAAATTAAGTTCGCAATTTTTTAAACCCAATCACTTAATTAAATTGACAGATATTTGATTACTTTAAAGATTTCCTTAGCAGGGCAGGTCCAATGGCGCTGTAAGTACAACAGCCTACCAGTTTAAATTTCAATTTTTTTCTGATTTTAATAATATGTTTTTTCAATATTAATCGTCGTTTTTCCTGTCACAGAAAAACAAAATGTATTATACACGGGTAAAAATATTAGATATTTAACTCCTGGTGTTTTGTCTGGTGACAGACACAACCTCGAGCTGAAATCTAATGCATTTTTCCTTTGTATAATAAATAACTATCTTCTGCTTTCGAATATAATGTTATAGTGACTTCAATAAATATCGGAAATGCGAAAGGGGGGATGTATGAATAATATAAATTTTTAAATTTTGATCGAAACATTCGTCCGAAAAATGGCTCACCCGGCTTTGTGAGAATAAGATCTCTTTCTAATAAAAAAATATCATAGCTCCTAGAACGTTTTGTTTCTGATATACAGAATGCTCAAGTTTAAAAAAATTCACATTTATTTAATTCAAGATGTTTCATGTAGGTTTATGGGCTAATGAATTAACTAATTATGGGATTAACAGAGTTGGTATACAAATTTCTGAACCAATGAAGAAAAGGCTAAAAGGCACTAGAATTTCAAGGTTATTGAATATTTTGAAAATTGAAAAAGAGCACTTCATTTTTTTAATATTTCTAACAAAAAAGAAGGGATTATTTTTTTTATTTTAAACATATCACACATCTACAAATAGAAGAAATTGAAAATGCTTACAACAGTAATTATGTCATTAATAAATATTCTAAAAAGAAATGGGGGATCTGAGGTCAAAAACGTTAAAGAAATGTAAATAGCATCTACTTGCTCTAATGCTCCAGACAAAAATTTGTATACTACTGCAACAAATTCAGTTCAGTGAAGCTACCATTTACAAAATCACATTGCTAGTGGGTATAGACTAGCCGTCACAGGACGGCATTATGAATAAGAAGTTTGGACCCAGCATTACTCAAATTCCACATCTTACAAAGAATGGTTACAAAAATAAAGAACGTTAAACAAGTTGATTATTTCTATAAGATTCTACTCAACCGTTTTGAGAATTACAAAAGTAACCCATATTTCTTCAAATCAGTAAAATGAAGTAGCTGACCTTCAGCACATTATTGCATCGATATTATTGATGAGTAATTGTTATTTTACAGTTAAAATGTGGCCATGTGTTTCACTTTCACTGCTGTAAAGAGGTATTAAGAAAAAAATGGGTTGGTCCAAGGATTACATTCTCATTTCTATTGTGTCCAATTTGTAAGGTGAGTACAGTATACACATATACATTGTTGTGACATTCAAAAGGTTTGCATCAAATGATAACATTTTTATTTATGATTTTAGAAATAAAAAGACTCCAATAATTTTTGTTTACCAAAGCGAATAAGAGCAATCTAGAAATATTGGACGATATTGGATCAGGGAAGAAATACCATTTTTATTAATCATCTATACATTTTTTTTTTGGAAAATATAGGGATTAGTTTTATCATTTGTGCAATCTTATGTAATCACCTTTCAATGTAAATATTGTCTCATTGTCATTAAAAAATGTATTTCTTAGTTCAATTAAGATACTTAGTAGAAACTTAAAACGTACATACTGGTCTATTCCACACCATCTTTAGCTTTGTTTGGTTTTTTGAGGAGATTTGTCGGTAGACACTTTTTGATAGTATAATTGTATATGAATATTTCTTCGCTCACGTCATTTTTATTTTCTTTCTCTTAGGTAATGGATCTCATATTTTGTTAAAATGTAAATAAAATTGTAGGAAACATATTTTTTCTCCAAAACCGTCACAAAACTGTGACATTTCTTGACTGTCGGAAGTCTCTAAGGTTGACATTTTCCTTACTGAGAAAAAAATGGTGAATCCCAACAACGAAGGTGCACTAAATAACCACTACAAACCAAAATAAGATTTATTCTTCCACTAAATAATGTTACAAATATTTTTTATATCTATGATTGACATACGTTAGTCAACAACAACTCTTTTTTTTACATTCCCTTGATTAATATAATATAAAATAGTATTCAAGTAAGTATAAAAGTACAGATATTTTGACATTCTCCCACCTGCGGAACATTTTTTTTACATAAACAAAATGTGACTCATTAAACTAGGATATCGGTACCATCATAGATATGAACCCTCTACAAAAATCGCTTGCGTCACTCGACCACTACGCGTTAGTTTTGGGGGTACTCTGCTATGAAAAGACACTCCTACACTTTCACCATCACTACAGTCATCATCTGGACTCTGAGGTGTGACATCTTGCTGGATGGTAGACTGAGCTTCCCCGAAAGCACCTTCTTCAATCGGACCTAAACATTCTAGAGGGTAGAGATGGTGCATAGGTCGCAAGATTTGTCCTCTAGCAGTATGCAATTTAACTAGCATAATCTTCCCGTCCTCGCCAGGTAAGAGTTTGACGACACGCCCTAACGGCCAGTCCAATCTTTTCCTATTGTCATCTCCCAGCAAAAGCACCTCACCTAAGGTGATTGGCCGACATTCCCTTCCAGTATAATGAAGGTGCAACTAACAGAGATACTCATTTCTGAACCTCAATCTCAAATCATGTCGAAGTTGTTGCTTGTAGCAAAGTCTTTTGGTAAGAGAAGTTCTGTCAACTTCGTCGTAATCTGGTAAACCACTCTTCACTAGGTCTCGCAGAAACATCGATGGAGTAAGAGAAACTAAATCACTTGGATCATTAGATATGTAAGTGAGCGGTCTCGTGTTTATTATGGATTCGCAATCGCAAAATATAGTCAATAAGGCTTCGTAATTCAAGGAAGATCGTGCGAGAACTTTTCGTAACAATTGTTTCATAACATCTACCATACGCTCCCAAAAACCGCCCCACCATGGCACAGTGGGTGGATTGAATAACTAAGAAATTCGTCGCACTGAAGTGTCTTCGGTAATTTGCCCCCAATCATGTGTCGACAACTCATTTTCAGTCCCAACAAAGTTTGTACCGTTATCACTATATATAGTCTTAGGTCGACCACGTCCCGTGACAAAACGACGGAACGCCTGCATGAGACAAGTAGTCGATAGCGATGTGCAAAGTTCAAAATGCACAGCGCGATATACTGCACATGCAAAGAGACATACCCACGCCTTTTCACCAGTCTTTAAATACAAGGGCCCTGCCATATCCCCGCTCGTCACTTCGAACGCAACCGCGTCTCGGACTCTATCCAAAGGAAGTGGTGAAGTTTCTACAGTGAACGGTCTGGAGTTGTACTTCTGGCAAATGACACATCTGGATATAGCCGCTTTCACAGTACACCGTCCTCCTAAGATCCAATAATTTTCACGCAATAGGCATACCTGCATACCTATATGCGAATCACGTTGATTCATATCCAAAATCAAATTATCTATTACAGGGTGTTTGGATAGCAATACGATAGGAAATCTAAAATTTCTATAGCCCTCTCTTCTTGATATTCGCGACTCAATGCGAAGAACTCCATGTTCATTTCTCGGTGAGCAGTTAAACCAGACAGTCTTTTATCTTTCTCGCCAGAAAAACTCTCTTGTTGTATAATTTTCAATATAAACATTTTAGCATTGTTATTAATCTCATCAATTGTCAGTTTACCTACATATTTATTACAGTGTCTAGAATTATGGTTGAAACGCAAGACCCAGGCCATCATTATCAAAGTCCGTGGATACTTGAAAAAAATAGGTGAAATGCCAGTTGCCCGACATAGCATTTAAGAGCGTAGTAACAAGTTTCCTCTTTTCCGGACCAATCTCATTTTCATCACAAGTCAATATTTTCCTTGGCAATAGTCGGGTTCTTCATACAGCCATTGTGGCCCCTCCCACCATCTTGACTTTAGTAAATGTTTCGGAGAGCGGCCTCGTGAGGGTAAATCAAACGGGTTGAAGACGCCAAGCATCAGTGATGGACGCATCATTCACCAACAAGCTTGGTTCCTTCCTCTTCTGCTGATAATTTACCTATGATAGTCCATCCCAACTGTGTCTCGAAAGCTACCAATTCTTTGGGGTAATTATAATTTTTACATTATTCTTGAATAATAAAGTTTGCACCTTTGTTCTTATTTTCTACGGTCTTATTAGTTCCTGATTCGACTTTTTTAAAGAATTTAATGTTTTTCTCGGAGAGAAGCGTACTAAAAAAACGTGACTTTAGTAATGGAAGTTTTCACTCGAAATCACAAGGGAAGGTTGTAAAAATATTAGAAATCGCTTTTTCAACATAATGAACTGAAACTTTATATTCGGGTTAACCTTTTAGAGGGAAATTTCTTTATAACATTTTCCCCTAGGATTGAAAATAAAGGTACTTTACTCTTGGGCCGATTTGAAGTTTTCGTATGCTCCTCGTATATAACACACGTTTTATGGTTCGATGGGCGCTATTTTGATTTGACAACATGCAGAGATAACTGACAATCGAAAGAATTTATTAAATTTATACATAAAGTTTTTTCCTATATGGTGCAAACTTTTTGGATAGCACTATATATACAGGGTGTATTTAAATGGAGGGGCACAAATGATAACAGAGATTCCTTGGGTGAAAATAAGTCGATTTAACCTAACATACCTATATCCCAAGTCGCATAATAAAAAAGCTACAGGGTGTTAAATTGAAAAATAAAAAATGGTTTTTCTTTAATAATTTCTATAATTTTAGTCAGAAATGTTTCAAATTTTCAACAGAGAGGTTTTTTAATGATGGGAAAAATAATATAATAATGATTTTTGAGTGTCGAGTGCGAGGCGCCCTCTGCAGGCAATGTTATGCATTGAATATGTAGTAACTTTTTTGCCAACCCCCGTATACAGCTTTTAGTAACAAAATATGAAATAGTGGACCTTTTTGAATAGAAAAGGTATACTTGGTATACAATGGGTACAGCCAACCATTGAGGAGATATTTTTAATTTCATAAATTAGTGTTACAGATTTATACCAAGGTTCGAGTTGCTTAAATAAATTAAAAAATCGAGTAGGTAAATGTCATTTGATTTGAAGTATTAGTTTAAAGTGTTAATTGATTTTAGTCACTATTTACCTGCGTCCTAGATATTAAATAGTTTTGAAATTGAGTAAAATAACAAATTATGTATACCAATGACGAGTATGTCGATATGTTGCAAGTATTTTTTGAATGTTACAAGAACTGTGCTGCTGCTGTACGACTTTATCATGCCAGATATCCCAATCGTCGTCTTCCTGCTAGAAAAACTTTTGCGGCGGTAGAAAGAAGACTTCGAGGAAACGGACACATTCAACCTCGTCCTGAAGGTACTGGCAGAAGACGTCTTATTCGCGATGTAGAACTTGAAGAAGTTGTCCTTGGCAATTTACAAGGTCAGAATTCTGAAACTAGTACCAGAAAAATGGCGACACAGTATAACGTTTCACATACTACAATTTGGAAAATTGCGAATGATAATCTTTTATACCCCTACCATCTACAACCCGTGCAGGAATTGACTGCTGCGGATTTACCTAACAGGATAGATTTTTGTCAATGGTATA